GTGGATACTCGACGATCCACTAGTGGATATGTTTTCCTCATGTGCGGAGCTGCTATTAGTTGGAGCAGCAAACTTCAAACCTCCCCAGCACTCTCTTCTACTGAAGCTGAGTACATGGCTCTTACTCGTACAGCACAGGAAGCTATTTGGCTTCGTCAACTCCTTGAACAGCTAGGTTTTCAGCAAACCAAGCCTACTCGCTTGTTGGGTGATAATATGTCATCTATTGCTCTTTCCAAGAACCCTGCTGATCATCCCCGTACAAAGCACATTCAACTTCGTCACCACTTTATTCATTTTGCAATCTCTGATGGCCAGATTGATCTGGACTATGTTCCAACTGCCCAACAAGCTGCTGATGGATTTACAAAGGGATTATCTGGTGAGAAGCACTTGGCATTTGTGCGCATGCTAGGTATGAAGCCACGCCCAAGTGGGAGTGTTAAAAGTTGATGATATCTTATCTACTTATGTTATCTATACATTCGTGGACTTTTACCTCATGGGCACATGACATTTGCGATCCAGCTCGCAAATGTCACCTGACCACTAATTCAGATGTACGTTACCTTACATACATTACGTGTATCACATTCTTTTTAGTTTTTACATAGATATTAGCACCTCAGCGTCGTTCTACCACTGTCGCTGAGGTTAGTACTTACATTCTTTGTTTCTTTACTCTATTTACTGACTGTGTACCTAGAACTCTCTTTTATTTCAATAGGTACATAATATAGCGTCGTTCTACCACTGTCGCTGAGAACTCTCTTTTATTTCAATAGTTTCAATAACTTATACTGAATGCTAAAGAGCAGATACGTCCCCCATATTTATTAGTACCGACTGATGATGAATCCTTCAGACAGGTGGCCCTAGAGTCTTTATGATAATGGTGGGAGAAGGTGCAGGCGTTGGGGGTCTGGGCCGGGAGGCGTTGGGAATAGGTCCATCAGAGTCCAGGGAACTTGACCACTATTGTCCAAGTTGCAAGCAGATTATTGGTTGAACCAGGTGAAAAGGATGCATACCTTGAGCCGGGGGAGGAGATTTGTGCATGCCGGCAGTGCATGATGGTGCGTGCATGCGTGTTGGTGCGTGTAGCATAAGTACATGTTACTATATGTTGGTGCGTGTTAGTGTTGCTAAGTTAACTTCAAAGTTGCTTTTCAAGGTAAAATAAGGGCTTCCCATGGCTCAATGACTTGTATGTCACTGCAGGTAGGTCTACAAGAAGCCACTATGTATATAACTCTAAGATCCTCCCTAGAGATGTCCACGAGTCCAAGTCTTCACAAGTACTTGCAGGTAAGATCCGTGGGAAAACCTGCAAGTATGTGACTCGCGGATCCCAGGATCCGTTTCCCGCGGGTCAGGCGCGGGTCACAAGTCAGACATTTGCAATTTTCGGTTGACTTGCAAGTACTTGTGTGACTTGTGCAAGCAATATGAAATCAAATATTTGTTGTTGGTGATCAAAACTTACAGTAATTAATAGTATCATATTTATTATAGTACTTATCAAGTACTGCCACACATGTTTGAGGTTGTAGACAGCTCACAGCGAGTGAGCGCTTATTTTAGCGCCCAATCGCCGTAGGCTGTCTACAATCCAAAGCCTAACTGTCAGTACATTTTTACTTCATACCATAGTATGAAATTAGTGTAACAAGTAAAGTACAGGTTTTTAATAGCATTATACACTGTACAATCACTGTATGCAAGTAAATAATGGTAAATACTTGTGAATATAGCTGTAACTACTTGATTAGTGTGTGGATCCACAAGTACTTGTGAGACCCGCAAGTAATACTTGCGAGTCAGTGACCCGTTTCCCACGAGTCAGCCGCGGGTCACGAGTCAGGCCTTTTAGGCCACAAGTACTTGCGCTCCGGATCCAAGTATACTTGGATCCGGACTCGTGGACATCTCTAATCCTCCCCATATTTATCAGAATAAATACTTTTTGTACTTTGCATACACGCACCAGACATGCACCTGTTGACACGCACCACGCACTGACATGCACCCGTCACGCACCACTTTCACGCACACGTGTCAGCCCAGCACGCACCCATGTGCACGCACTGATCTTACACTGCACGCACGCACGCATCAACACGCACCATTGGTCACATGTCACACTTTATTTCTATAATGACTACGAGAGACTTACCTTACTGTTAATTATCTGAATTTTGGATGTATCTGGTACCAGTGTATCTCGGTATTTGGGTATTTACATGTAGGTATGCGAGAGGTGCTATAAAACAACCTAACAAAAACACTACCGCACCTAACCAGACTATCGATATGTAAGGGAGCGAGGGCGGGTTGTCAGAGATTCCCTGGGGGAAAGTCTTGTAATATCGGATGTACGCGCGCGACTGCTCCAGGTTCAAGACTGTAGCGCTAACGTGGGTAACTAAGCTTAGACAACTCTTAGAACTAAGTCGAGAGAAGCCTAGTTGGGGTGTACAAGTGTACGAGGGAACCAGGTGTGTATGTCCAAATCAATTAACCAAAACCAAAACCAATACAACGAAACTAAGATTCTCCTAGGCAAACTCTGGCTCTAGCTAGAATAGTAATCTCGAGGTTTGTCAACAACCCTAGGCAAACTCTGGCACTAGCTGCTGTGACGCCGTAAAGTCCTCGACCAAACTCTGGGCCAAGCTACGATATTGTGAGTGAACTTAATCACTAGGAACTCGTACCACAATCTTAGTGGCTCGCCTAACTTCACAGGGAAGTCAACTAAGGAACCCTCACTCTGGAGCCGAATAATCCCTTACTAGAAGCCGTCCCCTCTAAGGAAGCAACTAGATTTGAGTTGATCTGGAGTTCGAGAGAACTCTACACACTTAAATTCGATCAAGATATAAATGGGCTTTGCGAAGCGCGTGAAGTTTATTACTTTCTTAAGATAACCAAGTCAGGAGGCGTCACGCTACTGATCCCGTGGGGACGTTCTACGGAGCACTGGTCTTAGCAGTCAAGTCGAGGGCAAGAAACTTGTCTTATTGAATAAATATATCTGGCTTATATACTGAGTAGAGAGAGTTTAATACAAAAAATAGATGAAACAGATACGGAGAGAGACGGAAAGAGAGTGGAACAGAGGAATCTGGCTCGGAAAGGAAACTCCAGCCTATATATGGTACACACGATAAAGAAATAGTCCATTCTTGGGTATATATCAGAGGTAAAATATGATTTCGTGAGGATTAACATAGTTTTAGAGTGTTTTGATCCGAGCGAGGTTTCTCCGATTACTCCACAATTCTCCGGGGTCAGGAGTACCTTTACGCTTCATGATCACTCGCCGCCCGGTTTCCCTTGGGTGAGTTTCATTCTATTCCTCGGATAGTTCTGTCCATCCTGAGTGTGATTAACATTCTCTCGAGAAGGCCTGTTATCTAGCTTTCCAACGACACCACTTATGATAATCTCGAGCAACTGCGCTGAGTATGTACAAGTGATTCCCGATAGTCAGCTTTAACGGATAAGACCTTCCGTGTATGATTTCTAAGATCAAATGTTTCGATTTGCCAAGGCTATCCCGGCGCGTAGCTTTCCGTAGGTCCGCTAAGCATGTTTCTACCGTCCTCACGGTCGCGACCGGGGCCGCGAATAGATCTCTATGGTTTCCTCGGGATCGTTCTGGTCCATTGTTACGGACTGTAAAGTCCACATCTTAACATAGCTCGTTGGGGGTCTTAGTGCGAGGGATGCCTTCCCTCATAATTCCTTCCCTCGAGTAACGCGTTGGCTTAGTACTTATCCCGCTTCAAGATGTCCTGTAGTTTAGAGAGTCTACACTCTTTGGGTATAACTAGATTGACGATCTAGCGTTAAATCTCCGGGCAGCCCAGGTATCCTCGCTAGCTTGGCTCTAGGCTACGCTTGTGGGCGTACCTTCACAGCTCGCTGAGTATTATTGTTAAGTTCTTTGCCTCGGCAACAGCTATCACGCTCGGGCTCCGTATAACTCTCTTATTGCATTGTATAACACATACAAAGTGTCAAAATGTACGGTTACACGCGTTAGGCCGATTTTAGGCCTAATATCGGTCTGTCTGTATAATTATGAGTGATTCAATACTTACACTGCTAATATATCAATAAAAATAGTACCATTTCGATAAATTGGGATAAGCTCAAGTCCCCGATGGCGATTATTTCCAGTGTTGTCTAAGCTGTTCTGCTCTTCAGGTCTGCGCTTTTTGGGTACTCTTTTTCTTTCATCCTTGGAACTGGAACCAGCGAATACGGACATCAGCGTGTCAAGCCCGCAATAAAGTACCTTTCTACACTTTTTCTAGGGGACACAAAGAACATGTTAGAAATATTACATGAGATTTTGAGTGCACGAAAAAACGATGCATAAATTGAACTACTTAGGCTCTCAGAGAAATATTAGAAGCTTTGTTAGGGAGATTCAGATGATAGATGGTTTACATCTGAACGTTTAAAGGCCGGATTTTCATGGGGCACTGCACACTAATTTGTAATCTTCGGGCACACATATGTCAGGACCCATATGCGCGCACTGCAGTCAGACGTGTTCGGGTACATCGGGACGCCGTGAGTTGGTCGCGCTGTGTGCCATCATTGCAGTCAGAACTGTTTTTTTTGGTTCCGATTTGATGGCTGTACACATTTTCGACTGCTTTATTTGGCAGGAAATTGGGATAGTTATCACTGATTACAGAACACACTGCCTTAGCTTAGATATATGTTATAAAGCAGAAATACTTATAAGCAAAAAGGTAGAAGATTATGAATACAAAGTCACAGACACGCATGTCACGCTCGCGCACTATATACGCTGACACGCACGCACGCACCTGCTTATGCGTGTCATAGGTGACACGCACTCACGCACGGACTACACGCACAATTCTACGTGCCCCTTGAGCCCAAGAGAAGGATGAATCATTGTATAGTATTGAAAAATAATAAGAAAATGCCACCATGCAGTAGCTGTTTCTCTCGAATACCCTGGCTGGGAATTGAACCCAGCTTTCGCGTGGTTTATAAATAGAGATTTCAGGTTTTGCAATCCATGTCAAGTGCGTGATATGATATGATATGAGTGTACTAGCCGATATACTACCAGGGAGTTCATACTCGTACAATTGACTTTGGTGTGGAGAATATCAAGAAATCCCGGTAGTTTGTGAAAATCAGAACGATATAGAAAATTGCCTAGTCACTTACAGCTTCCAAGGTTTATTGATGTGGTGACTAGACACTGGTTCCACACGAGGATGTATAGACGGTCTCAACGGTGGATGATAAAAACGGCGGGAGAAGTTAAAAAACTTGGAGAATCTGGAGCCTCGCTGGGAGTAGTTCGGAGTACCTGGCGTGTATCATCTGATCCGCAGATAGAAGTCAGTAAACGCCACTGGAGCAGTTGAAGAATATTTATGACTCAGTACACGATGCAAAATCATCGTTGCGGTTACCAATGAAGAAACATACATAGTGGGAAGAACGATTACTTACACGACATCATATCTGGTCCGCTCTGGTGCTTCACGTAACTTACTTTGATTATAACAGTCTTCGTGATTATCACCAAAACGATCTCCCAAAACACTTGCCCTTCCATCCCCAACAGCAAGACTAACAAGCGTCGTTGGCATCGAATCAAACACGCAGGGACATTGTTGAAGCAAGGGCGTTGGCATTCGAAGATTGGTGGTTGGCGTGGTGCAGAAGAAAGCACTGAAGTTCGAGACGGAAAGATCGAGGACTGGGTCGTAAGGAAGGGACAAGTGCTAATGACGAACGAGGCTCAAATATGGGCAACTCCCTCCGATGATTCAATATTTGTGCCATGTGTCGTGCGGCGAGCCTAGAAAGACGCCAAAGCAACGTGAACGTTGATGAAGAAAATACCGTTGAAGGGCAAAAAACATATCTCTGCAGCCATTCCCGACACCTTTGCCAATGTCGAACATCCCCGGCACCCGCCAATTCGACACCGACGCTCCGTCTATTCATACGTCCTTTACCCTTATATCTGAGGTCTGGTTTCTGACCAGCTCCAGTGTTCAATTGAGCTCGAGGCGGATGCTGCTGGTGAAACGTCTTCCTACATCCTCCTTCCATGATTCTTCGGATGTGATGCAATTGACAGGAGAACGCGAGAGGTGGGGAGAGGTGGAGAGGTGACGCATGATGTGGGATATCAGTTTGTTTGTGGACATTCTGTTGATGGTTTGCTACTAGTCCTAGCTTTTGTCGAGGACGCGTAGAAGGAGAATAGACACCGAGAGACTTGTCATGGCATTAGAAAATAGTCAAGCTCCGAGCTTCAATCTGTTGTATGTGGTCGTTCAGTTGCGACATGTCCAGTCTTGGTTGAAAAGGAATTATTGTTTATAAGTTTATAATGCACTGGATAGCACGACTAGATAAAGGCCATATCAATTCAGAACCAAAACTTGGCAGATTGAAGGAAGACGCACCGGACCCATATCTAGTACAATATCCCCTGACTTTTTCCTCTATTCTTGTAGACAACAACAGTTGGTGATTGTACTGGGATCCTTTGATAACAGAAGCAGAACAGACAAAGACGCCGAGTTCAGTGATCATGACTCTTCCTGGGAGAGTTTGACTTTGCGTATAACACGATGATGCGGACGTCCCGGTATTACTGGAAAGATTATGCCCATGACGGAGTATTTTTTGAAGAAATAAACGAGCCGGAGGCAGAAGGGAAAGAGTCGTCAACTAGCGCTGGTCTGGGCGTTTGAGGGCTCTTGAGGGTCTGATTTCTCCATATTTGCGCTGTCCTCTCTCCCTGCCATATCGAGAACTTCAACCGCTTGTCAACCAGTATCTCTTCGCTCTAACACTGCTCACGACAACCCGACCACTCGTCTCCGCCATCCCGACCTTCAACAGATCATCGTCTTGAAGTTGCATCTGCAAGTCGTCAGCCGAGTTGACTATTCCCACTGCCAGTACGTCAAGAACGTGGTAGAGTGCAACCTACTCCGCTGCGCAGTGCTGACCGATCCCGTTGATATGTTTCTCCGCCGCCTTCTGAGCATGGGCGAGACTCTCGCGCTGAAGATCGTGCTGATAGAAGCAACAGAGAAGCGGGAGTGTCTTACAGGAAGGAGTCACGCCGTGGCTAGTTGTATTTGACGCCAAGGACGTACGCAAGACCATGAAGATGGACGTAGTGCGGAGAGAAAGTGACGAGGGTCATTGTTACATTAGCCTCCAGACCAGCTTACATCCGCCATTTCGACACTATGCTCCACAGCTTCAGTGTTCGACATTTCATCGTTTATGTTTATATGCAATCCACTACTAGCGGGGCATCCATTTAATGCAGAGTTCTCTCGTCTGAGCTCTTAGCAACATCAGTAAACAGGCCCGACAAAGTATAGAACGGAACTAGCCCTATGATCGATTCACTAGTCTGTCCCCGGATGCACTGGAAGCAGTAGACCGCTGGAAATTCAACCGTTTCTCGGGTATTGAAGAGACTCATAAACATTCGCTTTACCTCAACTCTACCGAAAACACTCTCTGCAAAACAGTGCAACGCGTATCCACCAGACTACTGTCTGAGCTGCCAGCCATCGTTCCTGCTCTGACCTTCTCGATCTTCGTTCATTCTTTTTCTCAAATTTTCTCTTCTCTTTTCTTCATTGGCTTCGGGCCTCAGCTATGCTATCTGGCTTGTTGAGACACTCTGTCCGTCTGACGCACTGATGGCTTGAAGGTATAAACTTTCGATCGGGCCTCATGGCATTAAGTTCTCGATGTACGTACAGACTTTACCTTTCCTACTGCGAAATAGTTACATTACCAAGACCCATATCTATTAGAAACAACTTCCCGTACTCGAACTGAATTGTAGACTGTAGTGCAACACTGAGACCAGTCTATAACTTCCACTCCTGTGGAATATGATCAAAGTATGAAGGCCCCCACATTGGCCGAGGTTCGAGGGTAAAAGGAGGTTCGACAACCGATCGAAGCCCGATATTGCCTTGAGGACAAATTGGAGTTATACTAGGACCACCCGAACCCATGGTTCCTGAGTCTAGTTTGTCAAGCTCGATGCTGAATGAAGGCAAAACCATTGTATTCTTATCTTCTGTAATGTTATGATTGAGACAAATTTGTATATCATGCGTTGTTAACTGACCTTCACCACTACTCAATGCAGCAACAGTGTTGGCCGCCAACCTTCGACCTGCAAAACACTCTGTAAACGTTGTATCTAACACAGCTATTTTTTAACTCACCTGAACTGGCATGCCCTTTTTCTATCGCTTTCCTCTGTGCGTATCTCCGATTCTGCCATAACTTCATCAACTTGCTATTAAGAATCATCGAAAAAGTCAACATACTCTAAACCATATCTGTTTTTCAAAACGTCAATAAATTATAAAGCAACGCAAGTCAGTTTACGCACTTTAACTCGTCCCATATCCATCTGTACAAACTGCAAGATCTTCGCAATTTCAGAAGCCGCAGGATTAGCGTTCTGTGCCAGAATCATGACTGGTACATCAGAACGAGTGGCGTTCAACATACCTGAGAAAAGAACGCATTCAGATATCTTCTATCCTGTTGGGAGGGTTGACGGATAAACTGTGGTCGATTTGTTCTTTTAGCCATTCACCAACGTCCGTGGTTCAATCAAGAAATCAGAATGGTGTCCACGGTTGCGAAACGGAGAAAGTTGAGCACCCAACAACGGTCACAGAGTCTCCTGAGATTTGTGCCGTAACATTGATTAACTTACGTTGTCCTCCTGAGCATGTTCTCAGCATAATCATTGACTACTGCCGTCACTCTGCCAATCCGATGGCCTTCACTCTTCAAGCATCAAGCGGGCCAAGCGATCCACAAATTGTCAAAGCTGAGGATTTCATCCCATATATGGTAAGGCTCCGGCAATTACCGATGTTTCTCTCGGCTGTACCGCCTGGCGATGTCCTCGCTACCTGGTGACGTTCTCGCCGCCTAACAATGTCCTCACCTCCTCCAACCATGCATTAATCACCAACTTATTCAGTGCCCGCGTAGCGGCGTTTTATAAGTGGCCTGAGTCCCTTCCAGGCTCGCAAACTCCTACATCCACTATGGAGAAGCAATTGTCCATTACAGACGACACCGCTCTCCCACAATCTACTTTCACTATGGAGAAGCAAGCATACGCATTGGGCGACAAACCATTCAGCTCAAGTTCCCAGCAAAATATGTCTCCCTCAAAGAAGCAGCCATTATCTTCCGTGGGTGACAGAACACTCGAAAGCCTTTCGGACGAACAAACCGCCGTGATCGATCCCGGTGAGCTTCCTGAAGGTGGCCTAGACGCATGGCTCGCCGTGATTGCTGTCTTCCTCCTCACTTTCGTATCCTTAGGCACGGGAAGCATATGGGGAGTCTTCCAAAGTGCCTATGCCATCAACCCATCCTCCCGATTCCAACAAGACAGTACACTCAAATTCGGATATGTCGGCGGCTGCAGTATTGGGTTTGCTTTTATGATAGGACCCTTTTCTAATCTCCTCATCTCCAAGTTCGGTATTCATTCGCCGATTATACTGGGTGTTGGGACTATAGCGGTTGCGCTGATGCTGGGATCAATTGCAAAGACTTATTGGGAACTTTTGCTTTCACAGGGGATTATGTTCGGGTAGGGCTTTTTGTTGTTATCATACTTATTTGGAATCCTGATCAACATTGATTTTCTGAACAGAATTGGCTGTTCTTTCACGTATGTACCTGCCATCGGCCTTCCTGCGCAACGGTTTAAAAGGAAGAGAGCTCTTGCAACAGGCATTGCTAGTGTATATTTTCCAACGCTTTTTTTTTTGTTAGTATATCTGATTGATCCATCGAACTATATTCTTTTTTTCTTCCAGGCAGGAGCATGTGCAGGCGCAGTCATCCTCGCACCCGTCGTTCAATCCTCCATCGACCATCTCGGCATCCCCTGGGCCCTGCGCATCCTCAGTTTCATAACTCTAGCACTCGGTTTCACAGCAATATGCTGTATCCGCAAACGAGCGGCGACCAAGAAAATTGTCCAGTACAGACCTTTCGATCCAAGTCTGTTTAAGATTCCTGGATACC